ATTCTTTATTGAATATTATGAGGTTACCAGCTCCATGTCTCCCGCCATTCTTGAAGACTCAGCGACGAAAAAACTGAGTCAGCATAATGTACAGCCAACGCAGTCGACTGGATAAGGAGACCCGCGCCATGTAAGGTTGGTTGGGATGACACGCGCCTTTGGTAAGACCTCCTCGCGTTTGTTGGTTTTTAGTGGCCAAGCATTTTCTAGTAACCAAATAGGTGGTACCAGTGTTCCTTAGTGAGCCAGTTTACTAATACAAAAAACAAAACAAAAAAGCGTATCTGATGCGATTATTACTGATGTATGTTTCTTTAATAAATAACGTTTTACATACACACACACACACAGACACAGACACAGACACACACACACACACACACACACACACACAAAATACTAATTATATTTAGTTTATCAACCAGAAATATAAAATTACCCGGCATATCACAACCCCGGAAGACGAGCTAAAGAAAATTAAACTTTCCTCCACTGTAACTTAAAAAAAAAAATTCAAGGTCACATAAAAGACAAAAGTAAACGAATAAAAACCGGGAACAGCTCTGTCAGACGCCCTAGGAAGCAGGTTCAGTCGGTAGATAAAATTTTACGGTTAACCTTCCATAAATTATTCTTGTTTGCAGTTAGAGTCGAGTTTTATTTGTATTACCAATATTTTAAGTCCTGAAAACTATTCCATCCCTCGGGAAACAAAAGTAACAGTCAGCACTCGGAACTTTTATTAGATTGTTGACGATAAAAAATAAACTTCTTGAGTATAACTACCTATTGTTTGAATGTTGATGTGTTTACGCGACGTTTATGGCTTTATCAGAAAAACAAAAGCAACCCGAAAGATCACAATAAGTATAAAAGTTGATCAATTTCCTTTACAAGAGAATGAAAGAAAAAGTTATTATGTTGTCTCTTGTGGCTATTAAAAGTGGATATGATACTAGGCTTTGTAGATCAGTATCACTAGGCTACGTAGCAAGAGTGAGAGAAAGTTTGTTAATGTGTCAATAGTCGTTTTTCTGATATGCATAATTCTACCTCACAACATAGTATAATTTAGTAGGAACAAAATAATAATAATAATAATAATAATTTCCATCGTTTCACTCAATTTCAAGGTATATTTACAACTCATTAGCACCTTAAAATAAAAATTCATTCGTAAATTTATGAAATAAATACTTTATCATTTCATTAAGTCCAACAGTTGCAGCTTGTAATAGTATATGTTGGATTGAACACTTACCGATGCTTTAATATAAATAATTTGACAGTCGCGACACATTAGCCTTTGTCTGCCGGGTTAAATATATTACAAGACAAGGACCAACTTCCCTATCCGTAGTTGGGGTGAGCGTATCAAACACTGTCATCTTGTAGTCATCAGCGTTAAGATGATCTATGTGTGACGACGTGAGAGCTTCATGTTTATACGAGTTAAGAATGGATGGACAGATGTTTTATTCTCTGTTACTACTCATTTACAGCTGACCAGTTAACACACGAGTCAAGTTCAGTTTAATTGTATTGGCGGGATAAGCTTAACCTACCATAAGCCACGACGGTATGGAAATAATTAGGGTTCTGTTCCTGTGTCATGTGAGTCCTAACGAAAACGAACTGTGGCAATCATTAATGACATCGGCTGACACGGACACCAGCCGACAACAGTCATTACCAACACTAAACACGGACGGCCGACAGTCAAACGCACCAGACATGCTTTGCTACTGTCTGTCTGTCTGTCTGTCTGTCATTGTGGAAGAAAATTCTAATTCAGATTACGAAAACGACGGTCGGATACAAGGTCGTTGTGAAAAATTACACACACACACACACACAACACACACACACACACACACACACACAGAACAAATATGTATGCTCACTCGTCAACAGCGACACTAAAACCTGCCAAAACACCAAATAAATATCCTTCTAACGCGTGTCTAATTTCCTCCCAGACATCTGAACATATTCTCTGGTGATCACGTACACAGACGATGATCAGCTGTTTGTTATCTCAGTCACGTCAACAACACGGAGGCAAGAACACTCAGGTAATGTTATACTTGAAGGCGAAACGATAATTACCCACAAGGTTACTAACATTAATAAAAGAAATAATTGATACAATAAGAAGAATTCGGTGGATAATGATACCAAAATAATATAAAATAATAATGATAGTAATAATATTAATAATAATAATAACAACACTAATAATAATAATTAAGGTAATAACAATAAAAATAACACCAAACAATAATAGCAATAACAAGAATAATAATAATAATAATAATAACACAGGAAACAAAGAAAAGAAATACATAAGAACACACACACACACACACACACACACACACACACACAGTATCCAAAATATGTGTACCCTGACCCACGATCTTTCTCACATCATTGCACAGGTTATGACACACCACCCACCCCCCCACCACTAATATCACCCCACCCACCACCACTATACCCACTACTACCACCATCACACTACCACTAGACCCACTCCTACCACCACCACACCCTAATATGGCTGGCTTTCGCAGTCTCCAAGCATTTACACACACACACACATATATAATTAAAATTCTCTTTCGCAATAAGGAAACTCTCAAGCCTAAATGTATCAATTACCTCTAATTACTCACTCATTTGTCTAATTACGAACTCGCGAACGGAATTAATTACGGTAATTTCTTCATGGACATCTAGTTAATTTAAGCTATGTTATTATTATTTTATTTACTAGTTATATATTTTATTCCTTACTTCGTTATCTATTTTATTTTATTATTAATTTTCTTCCTATAATGTTATTCACGTTTTTATTAATCCACTTCCTCCGTTCTCTCTACTTATTCACCACTCCCTTCTTCTTCAGCCTCCCACTCATCATCACAACATCCCACACATACTTTCCTCCAACCCATCCCACCCACCCACCCACCCACACTCTCGTCCATTCTCCCACAATCACCCAGGCACACACACACACACACACACACACACACACACAAGATTTACGGCCTCCTAGACTGTCATGGTCACGCTCGTCTCGCTCACAGATTTAAGACGTGCCGACGTAAGACTCTGATGAACTTGACACACAGGAGGTGGTGAGAGGAGAGAAGAGGGGAGGTGCAGGTGAGGAGGAGGGGAGGAAGGGACAATAAGAAGCAGGAGGAGGATGAAGGAGGCACAGGGATGGAAGAAGAGGGAGGAGGATAGGTAGGGGAAGTAGGGGAGAAGACCGGATAGGGGTGAGATGTTGAAGATTAGTAGGGAGGAATGAGGGCGTCAAGTGGGGGTTATGGTGGCGGGTGAGGGCGTAGAGTGGGTTGAGTGCGTGTGGAGTGGTGTTTAGGGTGGGCGAGGGTTGGGGTGGATGAGGGCACAGGGTGGGTGAGGGTATGGGGTGAATGAGTGGAGTGGGTGGATGAGGGGACAGGGTGGATGAGGGGACAGGGTGGATGAGGGGACAGGGTGGATGATGGTACAGGGTAGATGGGGGGCAGGGGGTGGATGAGGGCACAAGGTGGATGAAGGCACGGGGTGGATGAGGGCAGGGGATGGATGAAGGCACAGGGTGGATGAGGGAATAGGGTGGATGAGGGCACGGGGTGGATGCGGACACAGGGTAGATGAGGGCACAGGGTGGATGAGGGGGCGCACTCGGTGTATGGAAAGCGTGGTGAGCCGAAGAACGTAATGGCGTGTAAAGGTGGCGGGTTTTTTCGAGTAGTAGGATCAGCTGTACGTGCGATGAATCATGAGAGAGAGAGAGAGAGGAACAGCTGAAGAATCTCCACCCTAGCTTGTTTCACCTAAAAACTAACCAACCCAACCTAACCTAACGTAACGTAACCTAACCTAACCTAACCTATTCAACATCCATTCTTCCTTATAGCAAACACCTCTGTAGACCAACACCCAAACTCTTGCCTTAATGTTTGTGTCAACATTGTGGTTTATCCCCTCTCACTCACTCACCATCGATCTCTTCCCTCATAAACAACGACTCATTCTCTCATAAAATCCAGCACTCACACCTCTCTACATGTCACTCCTGGCGGAAAATAGTTGAGGTAGTGAGAAGAGCCACACACACACACACACACACACACACACACACACACACACACACACACACCAAGTCAGGCGCATCAAGAGAAATTTCAGCAGTGGAACAAATACATCAAGGGTACAAAGACTGCGGCAGTACTGTAATTGTACACCGGAAAATTCCAACGCCTTTACAAAGAGTTTCCATCAACACCGAATGTCATTAAAATCAAGTCTACGATCTGTGGCAAACCTTTTTATTGTATTTTGTCTAACTAGTTTTCTTTAATTTAGTTTCTTATTATTTTTTTTTAGGAGGAATTCGTCAGGGATGTGTGACCCCGAGTTAACCTACTTTTAGGGTTCACATGA